ATTTTTATCGATGAATAACTTAACAGATATTACGCACACAGAAATATGTTTTCGTTTGAGAAGCTCAAATGTTTTCGGACAGAACTAAGGAAAGCGATACTTAGGCCCAAAGCGAAAAGAAAAAACGTTTCCATAGTTATTTTCATCAACAGATCTGGGAATTTTATATGCTGGTCAGCGGTGAAACGCGTTACATTGACCTCTTACCCAGACCATCGCCGTTCATGTAAGCACGGACTCAAATTTTAAACCTCGTATTTCCGTCGTTATAAGGCCACGAACGGGTGCTTTTCTTGTCCTAAAATACGATCATTGTGGTGTCGATACCTTTTAAAAGAATAAGCTGTAATGACAGCTACGGATAAGTATATATTTTTTCATTTGAGGCGGCGCTTTCTTATTATTTGCAAGTTAACAGCTCGTTTATCATTTGTATGCAACTGTATTTGCATTTTCCGGTTTTATACGTCAGCAACCCGTGCGTCTGGCGGGCGTAACAGAATGAGTTAATGTCTGGTTTTGCCTGCCCTGGAGAACGACTAATCACGTTTTTGTTACATAAACGCAAAAGACGAGATCCTTCATTCCTCTAGAAATTCTAACGCATTCTTAGCGTCTCGTCTTAAGCTATGAGTCTCTGCCAGCTATGTTTTTTATCTCATCTTAAGGGACATCACTGAAAAAATAATTCGTTAACCACGTCGAACGTGATGGATTGCCGAAGCATGAAAATCAGTCTTGCATAGCGCACGCTAGGATCACGAGAAAATAACTCTTGCACGCTGCCTAGTAATGATATACCAGCCGGGAGGGCTCCTGCATGTATTCAATACTGGAAATAAAATCGTTAGTTACAGGTTCCAGTCGTCTCACTGTATATGTATTATATATTTCTTGACTCTATTTCCTTTTAAGCGCTTTTATCTTTCATTTGTTGAGATTCTTTACTGAAACTCTCGTCAGGATCTCTCGAGGTTAATTTTGGCTTTCGCTGCTTATGTATCCTGGCAACATGTACGTGCTGGCATCAAGATTATTGAAAAAGGAATCAAATAGGTCCATGAATAGCGTGGTAATCGTATATGTAAGACCTAAATATAGAAAGAACACCTTTTAAAAGTTCCAGCGATCTTGACCTGGTTGGGTTTTCGCGCAACTTTCTACACTCATTAGCTGGAAAAGTAAGCTTTTCCTCAACCTACAAGAAAATTAGCTTCCTACTTTATAAGGACCGTGTTCAAGACTGGTGCCGTTCGTTGTATCAGTTGCCGTGAGAAATGTACCTGTACATCAGAAAATTGTTGATCACGTACCAATTCAATACAGA